AAGTCACGGAGTGACCCTGAGGGTGTTATCTTACAATTTAAGGAAAGTTAATAAAATTGGAGCAGAGTAGAAGCTTAAACCCTATGAGCCACTTCCACACCATCCACTTCCCATTAACTTTTCACCTAAATCACAGAGTATTCATATGCTAGAGACATGCAAACAACATTTACCTGCACAAAGCAGATTAGTGATTGAAATAATTAATGACCTAACAGATTCAAGCTTAAAATCTCCTCGTTGACTGAATTGCCTAATGACGGCTTGGACTATGCACAGACTCAAAAATATAGGGTTACCATTTTCATTCATTATCATCAAATTAGCAAGGTGTCTTAGCAATAAATGACTTACATAGGTTTAGTTTCTTAATATGTAAACTTTGGTGACCAGTGAAACCAAATATATTAGTTCTTTGTCTATTTTCATTGCCTTCTGTCTGATAGTACATGTCCATTTAAATTCCAGAATATTCAATAAAAGTGGTAAAGTTAGATTTATAAGTAGTCATCAAGGAATCTATATGATAGTAATAATGGATACCATTAAAGTGAGAGCTTAAGGGGCGCCTGGGTGGCTTAGTCGGTTAAGCGTTCGACTTTCGCTTAGGTCATGATCTCGCGGTTCGTGGGTTCGAGCCCCGCATCGGGCTCTGTGCTGACTGCCAGCTCAGAGCCTGGAGCCTGTTTCAAGTCTGTGACTGCCTCTCTCTCTGACCCTCCCCTGCTCACGCTGTCTCTCTCTCTCTCTCTCTCCTAGAAATAAATAAAAAAACATTAAAAAAAAGTGAGAGCTTAAGAAGTCATTAGCTTCATGTTCAGAGGCTTTAAAAAATATACATTAGCCCATAACCATAAGAGGAAGGTATATTCTCATTTAGTTTAGAAAACCAAAGCATGAAGAGATTAAGAATCTAGCCCATGTTTTACTACATGGCAATGAGAAACAATGAAATCTGGCCATGTGTAGCAACATGGATGGACCTTGAGGGTGTTATGCTGAGCGAAATAAGTCAGGCAGAGAAGGACAAATATCATATGTTTGCACGTATAGGAGGATCAGGAAGAACTTGACGGAGGAACAAGGGGGAGAAGAAGGGCAGAAATGGTGGGGGAAAGGGAGAGAGGCAAACCATGAGAGACTCTTGAATGCTGACAAAAACTGAGGACTGATGGATGTGGGGGGGAGGGGGGGATGGGCATGGAGGAGGACACTCGTGGGGATGAGCACTGAGTGTTATGTGGAAACTAATTTGACAATAAACTATTTGTAAAAATAAATAAATAAATAAATAAAAGATCTTGGGGGAAAAAAATGAGCATTACAAAAATTTAAAAAAAAAAAAAAAAGAATCTAGCCCATGTTTGGTAAGTGGTGGAACTGGACTACTATATAACTACTAAAAATCATGTTTTAAAGATTATTTCATGACAAGGGAAAATGTTCACCAGTTAATTAAAAAACAGAATACAAATCTTACATGTGTATTTGTGTCTCATGCATAGACACGTATATAATCACAATTTACTGAATATATATTTAGGTGGTTACAAAACCTGAAAAGTAATGTACTCAGTGGTTAACAATTCCAATGGGTAATGGGTGATTTGTCTTCTCTTTTAGTGTTTTTTGAATGGCACAATTTATTAGATTGAGCATGTATCATTTTGAGAATCAGAAAAGATGCAGTAATACTATTTTTAGAAATTGTTCCAGAAGCTGTTGAAAATTTAAACAAATCAATTGCCATAAAATAGGAAAAGTCAAAGAGTTGTCCTTTTAAACAATAACCCAGACCTTACTGCCATGAGGAAATTTTCTACTAATACTTGAAGGATCAGCTAATTGAAGGGGCATCTAGGTGACTCAGTTGGTTTAGTATCCGACTCTTAATTTCTGCTCAGGTCATGATCTCACGATTCGTGAGTTAGAGAGCAGTGAGTGAGAGGCTCGTGCAGCACAGAGCCTGTTTGGAATTCTTTCCCACCCTCTTTCTCTGTCTTTCCTCCACTCATGCTTTCTTACTCCCTCTTTCTTACTCCCTCTCAAAATAAATAAATAAACATTAAAAATATTTTTTAAAAAGAATCAGCCAGTTCCACTGCTATTTAAAATGCCTTTGAGCTGGGCTCTCCTATGGTACTTTCCATGATGATAGGAATGGCTACCAAATGGCAGTACACTTATAGGACACTCAAAATGTAGCTAGTGTAACTGAGAAACAGAATTTTAAATTTTATTTTATTACAACTAATTTAAATTTAAATGGTCACACATGGCTAGTGTCTACTGTGTTGGACATTGTGGCTCTAGACTGCAAAAAATGGAGGAAAATTTTCAAATTTCTCAAAAAAGCCAGTATAACCATTACCTGAAAATGATAGAAATGTAAACTATGGATGAATTTCACATATGAATACCAGGGTAAAAATAAATAAAATACAAATACAACCTAGCATATGTTAGAATAGCATGCCTGAAGATTCAGGATGGTTTGATATCGATAAATCCATTAATGAAATACACTCCTACTAACAGATCAAGAGAGAAAACTCAGACGATAGCTGTTGAAAAGGCATTTGTTACAATTAAACTTGCTTCTTGATTAAAATGATAAAATCCTTATTATTATTAAGGGTTGTTAAGACAATTATGTATGAAAATATATAGAGAACTCTTAGAACATGTCTGCATATAGTACTATAAAATATTACCATTATTAAGGTAATAATAAGGCATGTTATAATAATTTAAAAATGATTTATATAGGAAAAATACTTCATTTATAATAGCAACACAATTATTAAATACTAAGGAATAAATATAAGAAAACGTGCAAGATTAAATAAGAATATTTAGAAATGCTAGTAGGAGACAAAAAAGAATCATTGAATAAAGGGCAAACACATATGATACTTAGAAAGATTCAACATCACAAGGTTATAAATTATTCTGTAAACTTAAAAAAGATAACAATATGGGGCGCCTGGGTAGCTCAGTCTGTTAAGCATCCGACTTCAGTTCAGATCATGATCTCACAGTTCGTGGGTTCGAGCCTCCCGTCAGGCTCTGTGCTGACAGCTAGCTTAGAGCCTGGAGCCTGTTTCAGATTCTGTGTCTGCCTCTCTCTCTGACCCTCCCCTGCTCATGCTGTCTCTCTCTCTCTCAGAAATAAATAAAACATTAAAAAAATAAAAAAGATAATAGTGATTCTAAATTTATATAAAAATAGACATAAGAAGTGAAGGTAGAAAAATAAAGAAAGATTCTGTGCTCAATATTCTTATAGTGCTATTACAGTGCTAAATATTATAGTGCTAAAGTACTCAAAATAGTCTGGTCTCGGAGGATGAACAGACAGATTATGGTACAGTTTAGAGGGCACAGAAATAGAACTTAATACATAAGAGTATTTAATATATGCTGAATGGGGATACTGCATATGAGGGGGAGGAAGATTAATTATTGAATAAATACCTGTCATAAAATCTAGTAGGTAGGCCATCTGGAATGAAACAATGTTGGCCCTCTACTTAGTTCTTTACGCTGAGATAAGTTCTCTGTAGATTAATGACTTAATCATAAAACTGAAATAAAAAGTAGTGGGTGAAAATTAGAGAATGTTTTTCTATAGTCTTGGGCTGTAGAAGATCTTATTACACAAAACTCAGGAGCTACATAAAAAGGTAAGTTCAGTTATGTAAAACCCCCAAATTCCTTCATGGCAAAAAGCACCACAGATAAATCAAAGGCAATGACAAACTGGGAGGATAAAACTGTCAGTTTTATGTTGGTTAACTCCTATGACTAATACTCTTCTCTTCAATTTCTTTGACTTACACAGATAAGTAAGAAAATGACCAACAAACTTAACTGAAAAGTGCTCAGATAACATAAGCATGTATCAGAGAAAAATATTTCACTTTTTCTATTTTGCTTCAAAAGATGTTCAACATTATTTGTGATAAGAAAAATGGGATAACATTTTTAACTTATCAAATTGCATACAACAAAAAGGTCTAACATTCTTTTGCCAAGGATATGGGAAAACAGTGTTATTAGTATATTATTGCATATGTTAGTATAAAGAGTACTATACTAATGTTTATATTAGTATTAAACAGTATTCGTTTATCATTGGTTAACACAAAAATTCTTTCAACCTTTTTGGCAGACTTTGGGCAATATTGATCATAGTTTAATATACATATACCATCATCCTAGCTGTTAAACTTCCAAAATTTACTTTAGAGGTATACTCACAAATGTGCTTTGTGTCACACATACTTTTTTTTAACAGAGCTGGTTTGATACATGTGAAATATGCAGAAAATGAAATGTTATACAGTCATTAAAAATGGGAAAGCATCTTGTACTGAGTGTGGCGATGACTAGTTTCCAAGAAGTGAGAAATAAGGGTACAGAGTAAAGTGTGCTATCAATTGTTTAAAAATGTGTGTGTGTTTGTAAGCACGTGAAATATCCCTGGAAGAGAAGGTATTCCAGGAAGATGACTGGATAATTGAGGGACAGACAAGGAAGGCAATTACTCTTAACTTCATACCATTTTATACCTTTGCATTTATACTAAATATATCTTATTTATTTATATATTTAGTATAAATATATCACCTTCCAGAAGGAAATCCTGGCTTTCCCCACACAACGTTGCCACTATGAGTACAATCTCAGCTCATTCCTCTTTCTACCTTTATTATGTGCCTAAATAAATGTCAAAAAAAAAAAAATGAGCAAGAGGAATGTGGGAGAAAGCATCTCAATATTACAGAACAATAATAGTAAAGATCAAAACATGTGTATTTGGGAAAGATCTGAAAAACAATATGGCAAATGGTAACAGTGTTTATGTTGAGTGGGGGATAATAGGTTCTTTTGTTTCTGTCTTGGTACTTTCTGTGCTTTCCAAAGTTTATATAATAATATGCATTACTTTTTCATTAAAAAAGTATTTTTCATTAAAAAAATTTTTTGCTACTCACCTGGTTCCTGTCCCTGGCATTTGCATATCGAAACCTCTGGATATAGTAGAAGACCAGCCACGCGAGGGATATGATCATCAGAACAATGAAGGAGATGGAGACAAACACAACCGAAGTGCGGCTCACGTATTTCTGCAAGTTCCGGGTTCCGATGGTGATGTACATGGTCACGGTGATGTTCCTTTCCAGAAGGCTTACTATCTCCTTCCCTTTTGGTTCAGGAATCATTATTGCCACGATGTCTTCAACACCTGTTGTGACAGAGGCAAGAGAGAGACAGTAAGAATAAGGGGATGAGAGAGAGAGGGAGAAAATCATAGTGAACTGTCTAGACAAGGTAAGATGTAGCCAAATAATGACTACTTTTGATAATTCTGTGCCAGATCTAATAGCTGGAAATGGAGCCAAATTCTCAATCTCCTTCAGCTACCTTGGGAGGCTGCTGTCTTATATAGGAGAAAAGAACCTAAACTGAACTCATGACTTTCGTACCATGAGGTCCTGATCATGCTACTCTCTGGCTCTCTAAGGTTCTGACCCTGGTCTGGTAAAGGTGGACCCTTCCCACTTAGCCCAGTTTGCAGTTCTCTGTGGCTTTTCACAGACACTGAGCAGGGGAAGGGCACCTGCCACTCCATAGTAAAAGGGTAAAATGCTCAGTTCTATGCTACCTGTCTGTATACTCCCTTTCCCCCTCACAGCACCAGAAATACTCAATTCTCTATCATTTCTAAGGCAATTTTCTCCTATGCTGAGTACCCACAGTAACCCCAAAAGGGTTTCTTTCAAGTTCTAATGATCTGTAAACATAAAATCATGGTCTTGGAACTATTTTCTGCTTATTTTACCTAATTCAGTGTAAACAGCTTGCGTTTCCTCACACCAAGCAAAGGGATGGTGGAGGCTGTACAGATAATTTCCAAATCGTTTTACCTCAACTGTCAAATACCCTTTCTACCACAATATCCATTACGGTACAGTTTGAAGCAAAAGTGACAATTTTGGGGAGGTAAGTTACCTGGGTCATTGTCCCTTTTCTTTATGACATTGTGAGTGGGACAGCCTCTTGCTGAGAAGTTCTGGGGACTCTACAGTGAGTCTTTAGTAAGGATATGGTTTCAACTCCAAAATGACCAACTCAACACGTCACTGTGGCTGATACTTGAACTAGAATATTAATTTCAATTTCACAAGGGTAGGTTCTCAGGAATCACCCCAATTTATGCTCATAAAGTTCTTCAAGAGCCCCACTTCTATATGGACATAGTCCATCATCCTCTGGGGTCACTACAAATCAAAAGGTGCAATTTTGCAATTAGGACACTGTAGATTCAGGGCAAAATTAAACACTGCTATAGCTGCTTAAAGCTGGCCTTGTTCACGTGCAGAGGTCAGTCAGCTACCAGAACTACCAGATTATACTTGCTCAGAGTGTAACAAGCTCTTAGAGGCTACTTAGGGCTTTCACTTGACCTTGATCTCTAGGCAAGTTTTCAATATTAAATTCCTTGATGGTATTTCATGGAATAAATATTTTGAAAGCTAACTACATACAAAGGTATCTGTGTGTGCTACATGAATTATATATTTTTAAAAATTCCTAAAACCATTGTATTGGTCCAACTGTACAAATCATAAACCCACACGGTATTTAGATTTGGCTATTATTTCTGGGAATTACTGAAGCCAATGGCTTGAATTTCAACTTTGCAGAATATTACTGACAATTCTGATGCTCCTTCTCTTTTCATGTTTACTTTGGCTAATGGCTGCCTGTGGTCTGAGGTTTTATGAGGGATTAGGGCTGCTGATGGGTTTTGTCTCTACAGAAATACGATCTTTTGTGTATACTGGACTAATCTGGCGTGGTGAGGCTCATTCCAGTGCTGTAGCTCTCTTACAGGTATTTAAGTAGTGGTATAATTATAATTTTTCACTTAATTTACTTCCGTACTTATATGTTTAAAGCATGTCTATTCAAGACTGTAGAATTTGATTTCTGAAGATGGGATCTTGGGGTTGTTTATGAGTCTGTATATGCTCAAACATGTACAAATTCTACATTTTTATTCCTATTTCAGTCCTTTTAATTATCTATTTTTATTGAAGTATAGTTGACATCTAGTTCTGTATTAGTTTCAGATGTGCACCATAGTGATCTGACAATTCAATTATGCTATGCTCACCATGATAGGTTTTACATTTTTTAGCAGTTAAATTTCATTAATATATTCCTTTATGGGTTCCACTTTTGATTCTCTGCTTAGAAACTGCTTCCCCACTCAAAATGATAGACATACTGATTGAAAATGGCTTCTCAAAACACGATTTTTTACATTTAAATCTTAAACAACCTGAATGTGACTTAGTAACAATATTTACTGAGCTCTTATAATGTGACAGGCAGAGAAGAGACAGGATGCAGTTTATTTTTCCCTTAAATGCTCAGGTCTGTTCGGATCTATTTTTGGACTTCACAGTAAGGTTGACCTGTCTTTTGCTGAACTTGCATCAGGCTGCTTTAGTTGTGTAGTTTTTAACATATCTATTATCTGGTGGCCTAACTCTGTCTTCACTAACTCCTCCATACAACTGTCTTATTACCTGCTTATACTTAACAGACCATAGAGCTTAAGAATGAAGAGTCAAACCCCAGCTCAGCATTTTAAAAACAGGCAACCAAATTTTAGGTATCCACAAAGTTTTAAATTACATCATCATCCAGTTTTAGAGACCTAAGAGAACATTTTCTCGTCCTGCGGGGTAAAGTATAATTAACTATTTTAAAGTGTTTATTTTAAATGTAAGTGCTTAGTTAACAGTGCCTGTGCTTGTACCCCTGGTGTACCTTCAAGATAGAGGTAACCACTTGTAAAGAGAAACAGTGAAAATGTCAGTGAGGCAGTTCTATTCATTTAGACCTCAACTTTATTCATCTTTCTAGGGCCGATAATGGTTAAAAAAAATAGACAGGATTTTGGATATTTCCCTATGAGCTTTAGGCTATGACTTATTGTGCATGGTAAAAAGGGAATGCATTTCTCCCAGTAGCAATAGTCATTAAGAATTTAGGTACTTAGGACATCCCAAAACAGTACAATGAAGTGGATCTGGACGAGTTATCTCATCAATGCACATAATCCAGGGCGAAAACTACTATAAGGTCTCATATGTTCAAATGAGACATGTGTACCAATGTGAGTAATCACGTAACTCCCCGATCTGTGCTTTATTTTGAAATGTGCAGCTGTATTGTCAGGGAGGAGCCAGCGGATTCTCCCCAGGTATACGGTAGTGTAATTGCTTTTGGGGGGGTATGTGTGAGGGAGGGAGAGAAGCAGGGGTGAGAAGGCACTGAAAGCCTGAGTGAGATCAGAGTTACATGCAGCCCTAAGTATCTAATCTAGGACACATGGGAGGCCCAGAGACTCAGGGAAGAGAAGTTAACAAGTAGCAGATTTTATGGGGTTATTATCTACAGAGACACTACTATTTGGGTGGTTCTGTATTTATTGTAACACCTAATCATTCTAATACTGAGTGCGGCTTTTTGTGAAATTATGTCAGCCAACCCTTCATTTCCCTCCCAAAGGCACTGTATACAACTGAGTGATCACTGTTATATAAGTATTGTGTATTCTGGAAAAGCTCTTCAGTCCTGTGGGACAATGTGTGACCGGCACACATACGACCTGGCGGCCAGACAAACAGCAAGGAGTGCTCTGTATTTTTAGTGCTTCCTTTCCCAGGAGAGTGCTCAATTGCCATGATCTCCTTTGGTATACACAGATAGTAAGGGATCAGAGCAAAAGTTCAGAAAGCTAAAAGAGGATTAATAACCAGAAAGTCCTTTACTTATAAATTCAGAATCAGGCTGTTTAACCATAGCATTAAGAGAGTGTCTAGAACACCAGCAGAGTGCTAGACATTTGATAGGGCTGGCAGCCTCGTTCCTCCCCGTGCATCTTGGAGGGTGCTAACATCCCTCCTAGGTTTGTGTGACCAAAAATCCTTTTTCAATTCCCTGTATCCTCTACAGACCATCTTTTGGAATTAGGCAATAATAAGAAAAGCCTACAGTGTTCCATTTGTAGAAAATTTCTATTTAGGGGCGCCTGGGTGGCTCAGTCAGTTAAGCGTCCGACTTCGGCTCAGGTCATGATCTCATGGTTCGTGGGTTTGAGCCCCGTGTGGGGCTCTGTGCTCACAGCTAGCTCAGAGCCTGGAGCCTGTTTCAGATTCTGTATCTCCCTCTATCTCTGACCCTCCCCTGCTCACGCTGTCTCTCTCTGTCTCAGAAATAAATAGAACATTAATTTTTTTTAAATTTCTATTTATATACTTAATATTTACTGTTTTTTACAATAAGCTCCTGATGATCATCTATTCTTGTGACATAATGTATATAAATTGATCTCAAAAACTGCAAATTATTTCCATAAATGTAAAGTATTACCACTTAATTAAACATATTTTAATAGACACAGATGTAAAAATCCTAAATAAAGCACTCACAAATAGAACTCAACAATACAGTAAAAGAATCTTCCAGATCAAGTGGGATTTATTTAAGGAACATGAGGAATATGAGGATTTATTTAAGGAGTATGAGGAATATTAGAAGATACATTAATGCTTTTTAATACACTAACAAATTAAAGGAACAAAGCCTAGCATCAGCTTGTGTAGCTAGCTGTCCTTCAGTATCTGGTCTCTTTCTTGCCTATGGTATTAGTGTTTTAGGTAGGCACAGGCTGACCAGTTGGAAAGTGTTCATTCCTAGCCTCCCTTGCAGCTAAATGTGGCTACGCAATTAATATTTGGCCACTGAGATGTGAAAGAAGATGATGTTTGCCACTTTAGGGTCTTATCCACAAAGGATGGAGTATGTGCTCCCCAGATTGTGTCCCCTTTTCCCTGACTTCAGCTAAGCTTCTTGGAGAAGGAAGCCACATGTTGAGGATGGTACCCATTCCTGATTCTTATTAAGAACAGTATAAGGGAATTTCCTTAATGTGATAAAGATCTTCCAGAAGTAGCACACTGAATGGAGGAAACAACACTAGAAGTTCTCCAATTCAAATCATGAGTAAGACCAGGAGGAGCCAACATTTAAAGTAGGAGTGATATCTGGCACAGAGACATAGAAACTAAAGTGTAAATCTTGGAAAGGACGAGTGCAAGCTGTCATTATTTGAGAAAATCACATGACCACCTTGAAAAGCCAAGATAATTTAGCTTTTAAAATTAG